CCCCTCCAACGGTCTGAGGGACAGTGAACTGGCCCCCTGTTTTAAAAGTTTGAGGACCTGAACTTTGCCTTATTTTTGGAACACAGGCTAGAACCTAGAAGGAGCCACTTACATGAAATAAGTTGACCAAACCATACTCTGAAAGGCCATTGATTAGGTATCACTGAGTGGTAGGTGGCCTTCTGCTGACACTTAGGACAGCCTCTGGTTCGCAGTGGCCGTTAAGTATGCTGTTGCCTTTGTTTGGTCTTGTCTGTCATGGGGGGCACCACTCGGGGCAGAGTGAAGGATAGAACCTCCATCTTCCTCCCAGACTCCAGTCACTGGATTTCTCCTGAATATGGAGCTTTTCCTCTTGTTCTCAGGCTTTAGATTTAACTATAGGTGTTGATTTCTTTGCTGCTTCTTGGGTAGTGGCTGTGATCCCACGTTTATTCCTGATCTGTGTACTTTTGGTCATTTGTCCCCAAAATATACTTGCCATTGTCCTCATTTTTGAAGGTTCTACTATGACTTCTGAACTAATTAAAACACAGCTTCAATGTCCCTTCCATGTCAGGGTTAATGAGTGTTGAGACACTTGGGTGGTATGAACTTGACTTTCTCTTTTACATTAGCTGCCTTCTCTTTGTTTTGTTTCTAAATTGAATATATGCCATTGCATATACTTTATTTAGCATACCATTAGGAATAATTCTGCGTATAAGAATGGGACTGAGCTTTGGGGAGCATGATTTTTTTCCTAGCCCAGGCTTTCGATGAAATCGTTATAGTCAATCAGAATTATTCAGTAAAGTTGAATTGGTTGAGATGGGAAAAAAAGGATAGCCATGGAAAATGATGAAGAATTTCTGGACTGCTTTTTGTATAAACTTAAAAGACTTCAGTTCTTTTCTCTATAGTAGAGCACTTTTTTTCTTTTTTTTTTTTTTTTTAGTGCAGAAGCGAATGAGTCTTATTGGGAATTACAACGGTCTTTTATACATAAAGTCAGATGTGGGAGGGGCGTCCCCCACCCACCAGAAACCTTAATCCATGAAAACTTAATCAATGATTGCCTTTAAACCCTTTTCATATGATAATCTTAAAATCCCATAACAAAGGATAACCTAATCTGTGACTGACATATTCTATAAACCTTTTTCATCCTAAGCTGATTGATTTATGCCAAGTTAAACAATTCTATAGAAGCTTAAGTATTTACTTTACAAACGAAAGTGGCCCATCCCAGAATGTTTGGAATGTGGCCCAGTCCAAAGTTCACAGTGGCCTACCTGCAAGTAACCCAGCCGCATTCTTTCAACAAAATGGCTGTCTTCTAAAACTATATTCTACAATTTACACCTTCAATAAATCCTAAGAGCATGACCCAGAAGCCTGTGACCAATACTAAGGCTCTTAGATGTGACACGAGTTTGAATTATAAGTTGTAGAAAGCCAAAACTGCAGTTTGCGGAAGAATGGGAGCAATGAGCTTCTAAAGTTAGCTTGTGTTCGTCCCAGTCTCAGAGATTTTATGTTTTGAGCTCACAAGAGCTTAATCTGGTTAGTGCTGAGTAGAAAGGGGGAGGAAATGGGGTCAATAGCTCCCGAACGCATCCTAGTGGTCTCGGGGTCAACAGCTAGTAGAGTACTTTTGGCTCATAATTTTAAAACTATGTGCAGGTTATCTACTTTGATTTACTACCCTGGATTCTCCTTGGCAAATTATGGTTACCAACTCGTTCTGCTGTCAACCTATTGTGTATAGCTTTCCCATCCTCAACCCAAGAGGACACTGAGCCTGACTTGGAAGATCATCTGCCCCTGACAGGGTCTGCATATGTGAATCACATTATCTTTCCAAACCCCAAACCAGAAATTGTTTGACCTTGTTCTGGTGTCGTTTTCTTGGGTGCTGTTTTTTTTTCCTTAGCCGGGGAAGTTCATGGAAAAGTATTCAGTTTAGTGTTGATTTATGTAGTTTTATGTGTTTATGTTTTCCTGGATCGGAAGCTCTCAGAAGTGGAGGGTAACATATAAATAAATCATTTGCAGCTGGGTGCAGATTAAAGCCCTTTTAGATGACAATGATGACAACTCACACGTTGGGGCTGAGCTGGGAGCAAGCCAGATCACTACGTTACAGATGAGAGCTGGCCTTTTTCTGTGGTGCTGCCTCTGCTTTGTGACGCCCACAAGCATCCATTTGCAGTGCTCCCATCACTCTCTAGTCTGGGAAGTATATGGGAGAACTGACTCAGTACTAACAACACCCTATAAATACCTGACAGAAGACCCTGGAATTAATTTCCATCATCTGATCTGTGAGCAGTTTTTGCCGAGACCCCACCCCCAGGCCCGCATAGTGACACGAATTGGGATGATGGAGAGATTTTCCCTTATTGAGAAAACTTTTCATTTTCTCCCTTTCATTACAACAGTCTTAAACCGAGGCAAGAGATGTTACAGACATCATTCAAGAAGCTCATTGTTATTTTAATGAGTCTGCATTAAACCACGCAGGAAATTAGAAGGCCTGGGTAATTGAACTGTGGAAAATTATAGCTGGAGAAATTCATAGCTCTCCCATCATAATGGAATTAGATATTGGCAGTGCTGAGAGGGCACAAGTGCATTTTGAGAATTGTATATATATTGTATATTTATAAAGAATCATTTTTCCTTCCACTGGTGCACCTTTATTTATTTATTTTTATGTGGCAGGGTATCCATTTGAAAACTAATTTCCTCCCCTAGGTGATTTATTGCATGCGATTGCCTTATATTACTGTCATTAACTCAAGGTTACAGTGGTTAACAAGCTGTTTCTAAACAACTGAGCTCCATGGTAGGGTCCCTTTCCAGAGCTGAAATGAATTCTACCTCCAGTAATTTGTGGTGATTCCATGTTCCAATTCAAGTAGGCAGTGTCTCCTTTTTCATTCTCACTCTCTTTCCCATCTTAATAATACTAATAAGTGGGATGTTTGGGTCTGATCTCCTTGGGTCAGGTTGGCATCAGGGTACTGAGGAACCTAGAGTTTGTCATGGGAATTGACCGACTGTCTATTTCCATCCTGCCCACTGCAGAACGGGCTGCTGCAGACCTGGGCTGAGTTTGGGGGAAATGGAGGATCTGGGTCCCACCTTTCAAAGATCTTATGAACTGCAAAATGAGCCTGTGCTGGGGATCTCTAGGCTCAAAGCATTGTGAAGCTGAGTTAGTAAAGACCTTATTCTTCCTTTAAAAAAAATCAGATGGATACCTCGACAATCCCTGACACTTCATCCTGGGAATATGAGAGCGCAGTTCTAAGTCATTATCCAGTTGTAATCCAACTTGCGTGTCAGAAAATCCTTCTGGAGGAAGTTCAAATCTGTGGTTCTCTGCCCCCTCTTCCTGTTTCAGTGCTGGATTCTTTGAGTTTCCTCTGTGTTCCCTGGGACACCGACTGGCTTCCTTCTGATTTTTATTCAACATATATTGAACATGTATTGATCATTTTGTGCCAGGCATGTGCTACAGAAAATAAAGACAAATATAGCCCCGTCCTTGATCTCCAGAAGCTTGCGGTTTAACAAAGGAGACAGAAAAGATAGGATTCAGTGTAATAGGTTCAGTGCTAGGACAGAGCATGGCAGAGGGTGCCGTGAAGGCGGCCAGGAAGGACTTAAAGAAGAAGAGATGCCATCTCCTTGCTTGCGTTGGCAACATCGTTAGGTTCTTTCCACATGCATGGTCTTTTCTCTGGTGGCATCCAGCTCCTCCCTCGTTGGGGCATTTTGGACATTCCCTATGTGCTCCTTCCTGTGTTCAGAGCCTTTTTGACTGCTTGTTTTTTAGGTCGCCAAGAGGGTGATCCTGCTGTCGGGCACACCAGCCATGTCCCGACCCGCAGAGCTCTACACACAGATCATCGCGGTCAAGCCAACTTACTTCCCTCAGTTTCATGCCTTTGGACTTCGCTACTGTAATGCCAAGCGGGTATTTATTCTCTCTTCCCCTCCCTTGCCCATCCTCCCCTCACCCTGACTTTGACACTTACTTTTCTTCCTTCTCTCTGGCCAGGGAAATGGCCCAAGATTTCGTTTTTCTTTGCCCTTAACTCTGACTTGGGAGTGTCCTCAGGGGTAAGATGAAAATAGTCCCTCCTCATTTTAATGGTTGTGGTAATTCCTGCTGAGTGTTTTCCAGTAAACACTGGAATCCGTGGCTGAAGTGGAGGTGTGTGGAGTTCTGAGAGCCAGCTGCACTTGCTCAAGGTGACAGCTTCTGCACAAGGGATGGTGTGCAGCTGTAGCAGGAAAGTCTTTGTCAGGTGCTGGCCCGAGAGGGGAGGCTGAGGCCCTGGGCAGAGGGAAGAAAGTAGATGAGGTAGTGAGGGTCTCTTGGCATTCAAGGAATATGGAGTAAAAGTGAAAAAAATCTCTCCCTGTATAAAAAAGACAAAGGGTTGCCTCTGAACAGATGGAGTGGGGAACATGACACTGAGCTGCCATGAGGTGACTGGGATCTCCTCTGAGAGCCTTTGCTCATTAGAGTGATTGTTTTTGGTCAGTAGGTCAGAAGCCTCTGACCCGCAGATGATTTCTCTGAATATGGTGCCAATGGAACAGGCGCTTCTGGGCCTACAGAGAGCCTTTAGCGCTCAAAAGTGGCAGGAAGCCCTGGCAGCACAAATGCATTGATTTCTAAAACCACGTTAATTCTGACCTTAGGGGGTCTTGTTTTGTGATCCAGTCACAAATATCCTGACACTTTGGGGAAAAGGCTGCAGCTTACGCTACAAGCCATCTATGAGGGAAAAGCCTTGCTGTGCAAGTTCGTGACGTGAATAAGATTATCTGCCTTGCTTTTTAAATATTTTTTAAAGAAGAAAAACAGGACTTTTCAAGTACTTAAAAAATACCCACTTACATTTCAACAGAATGGCTACACTGTAAATTGTAGTGCTTCACATAGTTAATTGCAAACAATTTTTAGCTAGTTGTCGAGGCAGGAAATTTCTCTATTGTTAAATGTATTTAAAAGCCATATACTTTTTATAGCAAATCTTTCCCTGTGGGTCAAGCCAGGTTAGATTGATGCAATGTCATTTTTATGGTCCCTCAAAACTCTTCATGTATGAATTGTACTTTTGTCCTCTATGCAGATGGTCCATTCTCTGAGAAAGATCTTCTCTTCCTTGACTATCAGGGTCCACAGTGTAATAATGTTCAGCTCGTGATGGAAGGGGTTGAAGACAACGGGTTGCCTTTACTCCACAAACTGTCCCTTCCTGTGTTGCCATTCTCAGGCCAGCCAGTAGTCTCACACCAGAAACCTCAATCTCACCCTTTATTCTCACCCAATAAAAAAAACATACACAGTACCTTCCTCACCTTCACATCCTTCCTTCTGCCTAGCCCAGTGCCTGGAACATGGTAAGTTTTCAGTGAAAGCTTTTTGGATTGTGATTATTCCAAAGATCACTTTTTTTTTTTTTTTTTAAGTTGGAGTCTCACTCTGTCACCCAGATTGGAGTGCAGTGGCATGCTCCTGGCCACTGCAGCTTCAACCCGCTGGGCTCCGGCAATCCTTCCGCCTCAGCCTTCCCAGTAGCCGGAACTACAGGCATGCGCTACCACGCCTGACTAATTTTTTTGATTTATTGTAGAGATGAGGTCTCGCCAAGTTGCCCAGGCGGGTCTCGAACCCACAGGCTCAGGCAATCCACTCACCTCAGCCTCCCAAAGCGCGGGATGACAGGCTGAGCCACCGAGCCCAACTTCAAAATTCACTTTAAATATTTATTGTAGAGATGAGGTCTCGCCAAGTTGCCCAGGCGGGTCTCGAACCCACAGGCTCAGGCAATCCACTCACCTCAGCCTCCCAAAGCGCGGGATGACAGGCTGAGCCACCGAGCCCAACTTCAAAATTCACTTTAGATATTTGCCAGTTGTGGTACACACCTGGAGTCTCCGCTATTCGAGAGACTAAGACTGAGAGATCCCTTGAATCCAGGAGTTTGAGATTGTAGTGCATTATGATTGTACCTTTGAATAGCCACTGCATTCCAGCCTGGGCAACATAGTTAGACCCCTGTCTCCTTTAAAAAAAAAAAAGTATTAAATCTTTGATATTGAGTTTTCATGTGCAAGATTAAAAGTTAACAGTATTAGAACTGATATATGTCTTTTTTTTTTTTTTTTGAGTTGGAGTCTTACTCTATTGCCCAGGCAGGAATGCAGTAGCAGGCTCACGGCCACTCCAGCATCGACCTGATAGGCTCCGGCGATCCTTCTGCCTCACCCTTCTAAGTAGCCAGAACTCCAGGCACACGCTACCACGCCCAGCTAATTTTTGATTAATTGTAGAGATGAGATCTCGCCACGTTGCCTGGGCTGGTCTCAAACCCATGGGCTTAGGCAGTCTACTCGCCTCGGCTTCCCAAAGTACTAGAATGACAGGCCGAGCCACTGAGCCTGGCCTTAGTTCATTTTCTATTGCTGCAACTGAATAATACAGATTAGGTAACTTAACAAAGAATAGAAATGTATTTAGTTCATGGTTCTGGGGACCAGGAAGCCCAAAAACACAGCATTGGCAGCTGGTGAGGACTTTCTTGCTGCTTCATAACATGATGGAGGGCATTTCGTGGCAAGAGGTCAAGAGCATGTATGTCAGCTCATGTCTCTTATCCTCTTCTTTTTTTTTTTTTTTGAGTTGGAGTCTCACTCTGTCGCCCAGACTGG